CGCCGCCGCCGGGTCCGCCTCGAGGCCCTGGCCAGAGCGCAGCCCGGGAGGGGTCCGGGGAGTAGCGGTGTCGGTGCCTTGTGCTCTCCCCAGCAGGTGCGACCGCTGCCACGCGACGGGCACGCACTTCCGCTGCTCCGAGGTCGGGGGAGAGAGAGAGCACGGGGAGGGCGGGGGGTCGGGAGTCCTCGTGGCCCAAGAGAGGGTCCAGCTGCAAGGGAGGGGCGCAGTAGACTGGCACAGCCGCATTGCGAGTGTATTGCGCCAGAGAGTTGTAGCGCATGGTGCTGCCACGTGTGTACTGCGCGCGGGAATTCGGCAACGCTTTTGCGTCCGGGGATGTACTGCACACCCCAAATCTATCGCGGCCCCACAGATCTAATGCACCACATCTGTTGCACCCCCTTTTCGCTGGACCCCCTTTTGGGTCAACCAGGAGGAACCATGGGATGAGGAATCCGGGACTTTGGAGGCGGGTGGAGCGCCAATCGTGGATGGGGCCATGGGTAATTATCATTGCAGCCCTCAGCAGATAAGATTTCTCCCAGGCTCTGAAGCACCCTTGGCACACAGCTGAACCGAAGCCCTCACAGCAACACGAACATACTATTTGTCTGGGGTCCGCGCGGGTTTGTTGGATGTTAGCCCCAGAATCAGAAAGGGAGGACACCACCCGTCCTTTCTCAGGTGGAAACATCGCCCCTGGCGGCTGGAGAGTCATTATGCTTCTCCCCCCGGCGGCTGCGGCGGCTGCAGCGGTTCAGTTCCGCTTCGTTTCGCTGCTGTCCCTGTTCGCGCGACGTGGAGACGCGTGCCTCCGGCGATCTTGGGCCGCTCAAGCATGCATGATGCTCGACCCAAAAGGTTTTTTGCTTGGTTCTTGAGCCCACCTGTTGTGTGGCCGGCTTTTTTCTTCTCCACCGAGGGCTGCGACTGGGACTATTGCAGAGACTGCTACGACCTGCGGGCGGACTACGACCCCGCGGCCGCGGAGCAGCTCGCCGCGGAGGCCTGGGAGCTGCACGGGGCCCGCGGCGACGAGGGCGATCGGGCGTCCAGCAATGGGGGTGCGATGAATGGGGGGGAGGAGGAGGAGGAGGAGGGAGGAGGGAGGAGGGAGGAAGAGGAGGAGGAGGAGGAGGAGGGGAGAGGAGGAGGAGGAGGAGGAGGAGAGGAAGAGGAGGAGGGAAGGAGGAGGAGAGAAGAGAGGAAGGAGGAGGGGGAGAGGAAGAGGAGGAGGAGGAGGAGGGAGGAGGAGGAGGAGGAGTTGGAGGAGGAGTTGGAAGAGGAGGATGAGGTGGAGGAGGAGGAGCAGGAGTCCCCCATATCAATCAACGCCCAAGACGCGGCCGCCGTCGTGGGCACCGGCGCCATCGAGGCGGGCCATGCGGCGGCGGGGCGCGGCGACGGCAGGGGCCAGCGGCCGCCCCTCGGCAAGGGCCGCGGCAGGGGTCGGCCGCCGCCGCCGCGTCGCCGCGCGCCTGGGATGCCGCCGGGGATGCCAGCGCCGCTGAGCCGCCACCTGTCGGCCCAGTCCCGCGACGCGGTGAGCGATGCTCCTGCTCCTCCTACTCCTCCTCTTCCTCCTCCTCTCCTCCTCCCTCCTTCTCCACCTCTCCTCCTAGTTCTCTCCTCCTCCTCCGTCTCTCATCCGCCTCCTCACTCCTCACTCCTCCTCCTCCACTCTCGACCTCTCCCTCCTCCTCCTCCTCCTCCACCTCCTCCTCCTCCTTCGCTCCTCCCCTCTTGAAAGAGCGCGGTTCTGTGGTCGCTTGATGGGGGGAGGGGGGGGGGGGGGGGGGGGGGAAACCACACCCACGCGTCCCCACACCCTGGATGGAGGGGGGGGGGATTCGAAACCCCCCCCCTTTGACGGAGCGGGGGGGGTTCGAACCCCCCCCCAGTCCTTCCTCCCCTGCTTCCCCTCCTCTCCTCGGGCCGGCGCTTGCGTAGGCGGCGGCTGGCGGCGGCGGCGGGGACGACGATTTCCTTTTCTGGGCCGGCGCCGGCGCCTGCGGCGGCGGGCGGCGGCAGCGGGGAGAGTCGACGAGGACGACGGTGGGGGTGGGGGTGGTGGGTTGTGGTGGTGGTGGTGGCGGTGGTGGTGGTTGTGGTGGTGGTGGTGTGGTGGTTTGTTGTGGTGGTGGTTGTGGTGGTGGTGGTGGTGGTTGTGGTGGTGGTGGTGGTTTGGTGGTGGTGTGGTGGTGGTTTGTGGTGGTGGTGGTGGTGGATTGTGGTGGTTGTGGTGGTTTGGTGGCGGTGTGGTGGTGGTTTGAGGTGGTGGGGGTGGGTTTTGGTGGCGGCGGCGGTTTGTGGAGGTGGTGCTGGTGGTGGTGCTGGTGGTGGTGCTGGTGCTGGGGGCGGTGGCGGTGGTGGTGGTGGTGTGGGTTGTTTGTGGTGGTGGCGGTGGGTTGTGCTGCTAATAGTGGTGGTGGTTGTGGCGGTGGTGGTGGTGGTGGTGGTGTGGTAGTTTGTGGTGGTGGTGGTGGTGATGGTGAGTTGTGGTGGTGATGGTTGTGGTGGTGTGGTGATGGTGTGGTGGTGGTTTGTGGTGGTGATGGTGGGTGCTGGTGGTGGTGGCGGTGGTTTGTGGATGTGGTGCTGGTGGTGGTGGTAGTGGCGGTGGTGGTGGTGGTGTGGTAGGTTTGTGGTGGTGGCGGTGGGTCGTGCTGATAGTAGTGGTGGTGGTTGTGGCGGTGGGCGTGGTGTGCTAGATTTTGGTGGTGGTGGGTTTTTGTGGTGGTGGTGGTGGTGGTGATGATGAGTTGTGGTGGTGGTCGTGGTGGTGGTGGTGGCCGTGGTGGTGGTGGTGGCAGTGGTTGTGTGGTGGGTTGGTGGTGGTGGTGGTGGGTTGAGGCGGTGGTGGTGGTGGTAGTGGTGGTGGTGGTGGTAGTGGTGGTTATCGTCGCTGCGTCCCCGCCGTCGCCGGCGTCAGCGCCGGCGCCGGCGCCAGGAGGGGGGGGGGGTTTGAACCCCCCCCTTCCCTTCCGGTGCCCGGGGAGGGGGTGTTGAACCCCCTCCCTCCCCCCCCCTTGGGCTGCCTCTGGTCATCGTCGCTGCGTCCCCGCCGTCGGCGCTGCTGGTGGCCGGCCGCCAGCGCCGGCCCCGGCGCCGGGGGGGGAGGGGTTTGAACCCCCTCCCCTTGGGAGAGGGGGGAGGGGGGGGGTGGCTGGGGCGGGAGGGCGTTGGTGCGTTGCCGCTTTCTTTCGGGCCCCGGGGCCTCCACATACATATCGATGCGGCTCGAAGAACTGTGCAGACAGATGCGGTCTGGGGCTCCCGTCCTGATGTTCTTTTCGGGAGGAGAACAAACACACAGACACAATTAATCGTCGCTTCCCCAGAAAATATGGGGAAGTATTGACAGTGGGGGGGAAGGCAAAAACCCAGAAAATGTGCGAAAAGATATGGAATCTTGCTATTTTTGTGTATTTATGTGTGTGTGTGTGTGTGTCCTTGGGCCCCTTGAAACTTACACACTCTGGGCGGGCAGTTGTGGGGGGGCCGTCTTCGGCCTCCAGGGCGCTTTCGCCGGGCCCCGCGGGGCCGTCGGAAAACGATTCGGGATGAAACACTGGTCCTGCATGGGGAAAGGGTCGGAACTTCAGGGGACCTCGTGCTGAAATCGAAAAAAAGAAAACGCCATCCGGCGGCGCCTCCGCGCGCCAGGAAGGGGCTTCCAGCGCGGATCCACGAACTCCGCGCGGAGCGCCAAGTTTTTGCATATAGCGTTTTTCTTCTTCCGAGAAAATACCTGGACATCGCGTGTCTGGGTGACGAGCGTCTGGTACGGTCGAAATGTGTGCGGACAGAGTGGGACCGGAGACCGACACCCTTTCCGGCTCATGTTGAGCAGGCCTCGCTGTCGGTGTCGGCGTGGACGTTGCCCATTTGAGATACGAGGCCGCCTGCCCAGTAGCGGCCGCCGTCGGCTTTGAACAACACTAGTTGTTGGGTATCGTAAATGTTCTTCCCCTACCCATCTCGGCGTCCAATAAAACCTGGAGGCTTCGCGCGACACGCCATAGCTGTATGCTCTTGTCTACACGCCCGCCGCATAATGCAGGGTGATGGTGCAGAAGTTACCGGCGGGGGCGTGTTCACGCGGCGGCGCCCCAGATGATGATTGGAAAAAAGCGGTCCCAGGGCCCAGAAACTTTTTTGCTGCTCGGTCCCCCCCCGCCCTCTTCGTGCGCGCGCCTGGACGGCCGACGACGGGCCAGACGGAGCCGAACCCAAGTGAAAGCCGATCTCGCAGTAGGAGATGGGTCGACATCCGCGCGGCGATGCGCCGACGCAAGCCCAGCGTGAATCCGACGCACATCCGACGCAATTCTAGACGCTTCGCGTATCCCCACCAGCCCGTCCAGAAGCGACGCCCAGGCGAGTAGCGGGTCGTCCTGAGGGGCTTTTCGGCGTCTTGGGTGCCTCAGGGGGGCCTCTGTGGGCCGTTCGGGATCCTCTTTGGGGCCTCCTGGGGGCCTCTTGGGGCCTCGTGGGGCCATCTTGGGGCCTTTGGGGGCCTCCTGGGCGCTTCTTGGGGCCTCCTGGGCGCTTCTTGGGTGCCTCTGGGGGGTCTCTTGGGGCCTCTTGGGGGTCTCTTGGGGGCCTCCTGGGGGCCTCTTGGGGGGCCTCGGAGCCATCTTGGAGGAGATCGATCAACGAAGGGGGGTCCCTAATTACAGTCCCCCCCTCAGGAGCCACGATCCTCGTGAGGGGTGTCGAATTTTAGCCCTCCCAGGGGTCGTTCTTGGACGCTCTAACTACCCGCGGCCCCCCCTGTCCAGGTCAGTGGGGAGGGGGTAGGGGGAGGGGTAAACCCCTCCCCGAAGGGGAAGAAGGAGGGGTGGAAGAGGAAACGCTCTAAACCACCGACGCCCAGAGGGCTGGTGGGATTTCCGATGCACTTCGACGTGCACCCGACGTCGATCCGCCGTGCATCCGACGCAAGCTGGGTCTGGAGTTGCCGCGCGAGGCCTCGAGGGACGTCCCTCACAGAGGTGACGAGCTTCGCGATGGAGGCGGACAGCGCCCGCCTCGGCGCCGCGGACGTGGCCACCGCGGAGGAGCTGCTGTCGCGCGTTAAGGACGGGGGCTCTTCGGCACCCCGCAGGGGCCTGCCCACTCTCCCGCGTGGCGCGGCGCGCCCCCCCCCCCTCCGCGGGGTTCCTTGCGAATCTTCCGATTCCATTCGATTCGATTCGATTTCGATGGCTTCGAGTCCATTCGATTAGATTCGACTCCATTCGATTCGATTCCATTCGATTCGATTTCGTTGGCTTCCACTTCCGCTTCGATTCGGCTTGGGATTCCGATTTGGGGTCCGATTTCCCCCCTGGAGGCATATGCCAGCTAGCCGACGTCCGCAGATGCGACGCTTCCCGACTCGGCTGCCGATTTCCCCCGATCCGATTCGCTTCGATCGCCGATCTGGCTCATCGATTCGATTCGGGGCTCTCCTGCCCCAGATGTTGCGCCCCCGCTGGCCCCTCCATAGGTCATCCCTCGGAGCTTAAGCAACGGCGGTCGATGCAAACGGGGGTCAGCCAGGGCACCGGATCCTGCAGGATCCTGCGAAGACCCTCGGGTGGCCCGGATTAGCGAGCCCCTCGTGGCCGCGAGGCAGCCGCGCATGTTGGCTGACCCGGGTTTGCGAAGCCCTGCGTTGCTGCAGTTTGTTGTTCCTGCATTGCAGGTGTTGGTTTCCTGCTGACCCGGGTCTGATTGACCCCGGTGAGCAGATCCCCGAATCCCGCGAGGGCGCGAAGATCACCGTGCGCCGCGCATCGCGGTCCCTGGCCAGGGCAGCCGCCCTTGCACGCGGCGCGCCGCGAGGGCGCGGAGGGGGGCCGCCGCGTCGCGTTCGAGCGGGGGGGCCGCGGGGGCGCGGGGGCGCGAGGCGCTGGAAGCTGCGCGGGCCCCGGGCGGTGCCCGTGCCGGGATGGCCGTGGGGGTTGCGGAGGGGATAGGGGGATGAGAATCAGCCACGCGCAGAGGGGGGTGGGGGGAGGGGGGTGGGCTTCTTAGAAGCACCCCTGCTTCTTAGAAGGCGCGGGCCTTCTCTATAGACGTAAGGCCGAGGCCTTCTAAGAAGCAGGGTGCTTCTAAGAAGACTTCCCCCCTCCCCCTACCCCCTTTTGCGCGCCGCCAAGAGAAGCGGTCGACTGGATGAGTTCTGTTTGGCGCAGCCTGGCTCACGAGCGAGCGACGCAAGTAGACTGGGTGGTCTTCACCGACACTGGCGCGTCAGCTGCCCGCGTAATTGAGCTCGCGCGTAAGCGCCCTCGTCTCCAATGCCAGCGTTTCACGCTGGCGGCCCGCGCAAGCCGCCGCGTCAGGTCGATATTGCCATCTCGCGTAAAACCCGCTTCTTCTCGTCGCTCATGTGGGCTGCGCATGCCCCAGGTGGCTCAGGGGGGCTAGACAGCTCCGCTCAGCTGGCGGGGCCCGCTTCGCCTGGGTCCCGAGCCCCTTCTGAGCCACTTGCCCCCTATCTCCATACCTACACGACCACCCTTCGGGTGATAAGGAGGTTGTGGGAGGGGGAGAGAGGGGGGGAACCAACATCTGACTCAATCGATCTCACTATCGATCTCACTCAACGGGACACCACGGGACACCTCTTGAGGCACTTGTCGATCTCACTATCGATCTCACCATCGATCTCACTCAACGGGACACCACGGGCCACTACAGGACACCACGGGACACCGCGGGACACCTCTCTATCTCACTATCGGTCTCACTATCGATCTCACGATCGATCTCACTCAACGGGACACCACGGGACACCACGGGCATGAACAGGACACCACGGGACACCGCGGGACCTCCCTCGATCTTACGATCGGTCTCACAATCGATCTCACTATCGATCTCACTCAACGGGACATCATAGGACACCACGGGACACTCGTCGATCTCACTATCGATCTAACTATCGATCTCACTCAACGGAACACCACGGGGCACCACGGGCCACTACAGGACACCACGGGACACCGCGGGACACCTCTCGATCTCACTATCGGTCTCACTGTCGATCTCACTATCGATCTCATTCAACGGGACACCATAGGACACCACGGGACACCATAGGACACCACATCTATCTCACTCTCGATCTCACTATCGATCTCACTCAACGGGACACCACGGGACACTACGGGACACCTGACGATCCCTCTATCGATCTCACAATCGATCTCACTTTTTGGGACACCACGGGACACTTCGGGGCACCATATCGATCTCAGTGTCGATCTCACTATCGATTTCACAACGATCTCACTCAACGGGACACCACGGGACACCACGGGACACCGCGGGACACCGCGAGCCACCGCCGAACGGACGGACGGACGGACGGGCGAGGGATAATCATTTGTTTTGATTTCGCCCCAGCAACGGTGGACACCACGGGACACCGCACCGCGAGCCACCGCCGGACGGGCGGAAGGGGGATAGTCATTTGTTTTGATTTCGCCCTAGCAACGGCGGGCACCACGGGACACCACGGGACACCGAGGGACACCGCGGGCTACCGCCAGACGGGCGGGAGGGGGAGAATCATTTGTCTCGACTTCGCCCTAGCAACGGCGGGCACCACGGGACACCACGGGGCACCGCGGGGCACCGCGGGCCACCGCAGGACGGGCGGGAGGGGGAGAATCATTTGTTTTGACTCCGCAATGGCAAGGGCGGGTTCCTTCCTCTCGCGGGCCCACGCAGCTTCGCCTCGCCCGCGCGCACGACACGAACGAAACGAAACGATTTCCCGGTTGGGAGTCTCCGTTCCTTTGCGATCTCACCCCCCAACCTCCGATCCCTTAGCAGCCCTCGCGGTCATCCCAGTGGGCGTCGTGATGCTGCGTGCTCGCAGGCGCCGCGTCGCCCACGCCCCATGCAGCTCGGTGTCGGCTCGGGGTCTGAAGTGGCCCAGCACGGCTTCCGGCCAGCAGCAAAGGGGGAAAGAGGTTCAAGGCTTTGGGCTCGCCAAGGCTTATCCTCTCTCGAGAGCCGGGGGCCGCTTGCGGGCCGTCAAAAATGGATCCGGGGTGCAAGGATTCACCAGATGGATCCCAGGAGGAGTCCAGGGACCGATTTTGAAGGGATTTGGCCTCATCCCCTCCTCTTGAGCGATTTCCCACGGCGCAACCAGCTCAGACCCCAGGCCGCCTCTCTTGCTGCGGTGTGGGCCCACTCGCGATCTCATGCACATTCGATCGTTCGACCGCTTGCTAGGCTCGCTCGTTCGATCGCTGGTGTTTGCGTGATTGCGTGCTGGATCACGCCTGCGTGCATCTGTTGTTTCCACCTCTTCTTCTTTCACGACTGCGCGTGTGCTTGCTCCCCCGATGCCGCAGCAGACCACCGTCCCCGGAGTTGCGCCTGCAAGGCCGTCAGACGATCCCGTCTCGCGGCCGCAGCTCATGAGATCGGAGGGTTGGGGGCGCGGGAGCACTGTGCAGGCCGCCCCCGTCCGGGAGGCCAGGAGGCCTCAGTCCGTGCCCCCGTCGCGCGCGCGGAGGCGTGCGCGAGTGCCCCGATGCGGCTGCAACTCCTGGGAGGTCGAGTTCAGAGTCGGCGCTTGCACGTCCTTGGTCGAACACGGGCCCGATCTCGCTTCAGCCCGCTGAGCGCGGCTGAATCCCGCTTGCTCCAGCCCAAACTTGCTTCTCCTGAGTGCCTCAAGAGTGCTGGGGTGACCAACAGTGCGGGGGGGGGGGGGCCTGTAGTCTGGGGCGGGGGTCCCTTGGGGGTGGTCCTGCAGTCTTGGGGTCGTGATGCGTTGATCTTCGTGGTGCCTGGAGGACGAGGGGGGGCCCCTTGTAGTTAGTCGGGGCGGGGGGGGTCCCTGTAGTCTTTGGGGGGGGCCCTTGCAGTCGGGTTGGGAGGGGGGGGCGCTTGTAGTCTGGGGGAGGGGCCCGTGTAGTCCGCAAGGGGGGCCCGCGGTGGCCCAGAACTCTTGCGGGCCTGCTCCGGCGCCGCAGTGGCCCGTGTCGGGGCGCTGCGGCATCGCCGCTGTTGACATCTGCCTGTCAACGTGTGTGTGTGTGTGTGTGTGTGTGTGTGTGTGTTGACGGGCCTGTCTTCCACGACCACCATAAGTTGGCGGGGGAGGTGGTCCTCCGCCTCCTCCTCCTCCTCCTCGTCCTCCACCTCCTTCCCCCCTCGTCCTCCACCTCCTTCCCCCCTCCAGCTTCTGGTGGTGGTGGTGGAAAACGGGCCCATCGTGTGTGTGTGTGTGTGTGCGTGTGTGGGTGTGTGTGCGTGTGTGGGTGTGTGTGTGCGTGTGTGTGTGTGCGTGTGCGTGTGCGTGTGCGTGTGTGTGTGTGTGCGTGTGTGCGTGTGCGTGTGCGTGTGCGCGTGTGTGTGTGTGTGTGTGTGTGTGCGTGTGCGTGTGCGTGTGCGTGTGCGTGTGTCTGTCCCGCTGCTCCCGGGCACGCCCGCAGCGACCTCCGCTGGCCGCGCGTGGCCCTCTCGCCTCCCCGGCCGCCCCGCGCCGCCCTCGGGCCCGGCGTGCCTCACAGGGCCAGCCAGCGGCGAGGCGTCCTGGCTCGCCTGCGGGCCCACCGAAGCACGGTCGGAGAGCCTCCTGTGGCGTCTGCGAGGTGTTCTTCGAGCGCTTCTGGCGGAGGGTGTCTTGCTTTCTTTTCTTCTCTCTGCACACTGGGGGTCACGTTCTCGTTCTGCGAGCATCGTTTCTGTTCTGAGAGGGTGCTTCTGGGGCTCTGAGAACACTTCGTGGCAGGCCTATAGGAACTCGAGGACGGTCGGCCCCTGCTCGGCAGGGGCCTCGGCGCGTCCCGCGCCGTCGCGGACCGCCGCCGGGCCCTCCCGCGGCCGCCGCCCTGTAGGGAAGTGCTTCCCCGCGGCCCCCCTCGCGACGGCCCCCTCGCGAGGGCTGCTGCCGATGCCTTCGGGGGCGGCTCCCGCTGCTGCCTCGCCGCGCGGTCTGGGCCGGCCCGTGCGCGTCTCGCTCCCGCGCGGCGTGCGCCGCGCCGCGCCGTTGTGCGTGCGGCCGCGACGCCAAGTGCGCGCGTGTGGTGTTGCATCCATGCCCGGATGGCTGACGGCGGCGGCTGCAGCGA